CTCTGAGTGAGGGTGCGGTGCGGTGGGTGCCCTCCTCTACCCAGAGCAGCCCGAGAGCCAGCTCCTGCCTCCTCTCCCCCCTTCCCCATGCACAGCCCCCTGCTAGGAGGAGCAGGGGAGGGCCCTGGCTGACTTTGCAGAACGATACAGTGCCTGGGGCTTTCTTGGCCTGAGCCTTGGGCAGGGTGCGGGCGAGGGAAAAAGGAGGCTCGGCTAACACCGTTCCCCCTGTTTGGAAAAGCAGCGCTGTTGGCAGAGACACGGGCACAGGGCAGCGTGCAGTCACTGTCTGACCAGATGTGAAATCTGGGAGAGCGTGAGGCCACGTTGCCAGTCACTGCCACCCCACTTCAAAGAGAACGCTGGTGGCAGCAGGCAGTGCCGGCGCTCTGCTGCGGTCTGTGGTTAGCCCCGGCTCGGGAGGAGCGGTTTGAGGGAGCCCTCGCCCCGGGACGTGGGCTGGCACACAGGTTAGCACACACGTGCTTGCAGAAGCAAGGCACTGCCAGCGCAGCGGGGACTGGTGTGGATTCACGGATCTTCTTTGTTCCAGTGCTGGGAGCCTGGTGATGCCATAAGGTGCTTTGATAAGCAGTATGAACACAAGGGCAAGTGCTGCAACCGGTGTCAGCCAGGTATGGAGACCCGTTCACCTTCCCGGGCATCCTCTGGCCTGGCTGTGCCAGGACCTGCTGCCTGTCCAACAGAGCAAGCCCAGCTCAGAGTGATCAAACCCCTCCACCCCACTGCCAGCAGTGCTGACAGCTTCATCTCTGTGTGGCACCTCAGCACTAGAGCAACTGGGGACTTCATGGGTGCCCTGGGAGATCCCCTAGACCTCACCAAATCTGCCACAGCTCTCTTGGGTCTGTGCTCCTGTAGCTGCAGGACCCCATAGCACAAGCAGCTTCTGGGAAGAGTGCTGACACTGGCACTACCAAATCGTGACAGTATTTGCCAGCTCCCGCTGTCACTGCCAGATTGTTTCCCAGTCCTTGGAGTGCTGGAGGTGGTGAATGGCCCCACTGCTCTCCTGCCCCAGCACCCAGCAGCCCTATCCCCCAGCCCCATGCAGCATGCACAGCCACTGGGTAAGCTGGCCCCTGGAACCCTGGCTGCCAGAGTGGCACCAGTCTACCAAGCAGCATGCTGCAGCAGCCCTGGCAGCCACAGCTGCCCATGCTCCCCTGTCCTGACAGAGCTGCTGCCTGGAGAGCGGGAAGCCCCCTCCTCACCAGCCTTTATTGCAGGGGAAAAGCTGGTCTCCGAATGCAATGGCACAGAAGACTCTGTCTGCACCCGCTGTGAGAGTGGACACTACCAGCAGAGCTGGACCAAGGAGAGGCACTGTGCCCCCCACGATATCTGTGACAACAGTAAGTGCTTCCTGCACCCCCCGGCCCTGACCTTGGGGAGCTGCAGGGGCTGGTGTCCCCCAGGCTCACCTGCCTGGCACCTCACCCTACCCACGCTCCCTTTGCCCAGATGCTGGCCTCATCCTGAAGATGCAAGGAAACACCACGCACAACACGGTGTGTAAGTGCCAGGCTGGCATGCACTGCTCTGATGCCAGCTGCCAGACCTGCTTGGAGAACCAACCCTGCCAGCGTGGCTTTGGCTTCGCAGCAGGTGAGTCCGACCCGCTGTTCTCAGTGGGACTGATGGCCTGGCAGCACTGGCCTCAGGTCCTCCCAGGAAACAGGGGCTCTGCCTGTAAGGTGCCCCTAATAGGGCTTTGGGAGAGCTGTGCCTGGCAGCATTGCCCCAGGGAGTGCTTGCTGCTCACCTGAGCCCCACAGCCCTTCACCTCCTGCAGCCCATACTGACCTTCCTGCAACCTCTGCTCCTCTCCAGCCAAGGCTGAGGCCCAGATGTCATCCCCCTGCGAGCCCTGTGCAGAAGGCACCTTCTCCAATGTCTCTTCTAAAACAGAGCCGTGCCATCCCTGGACGAGGTATTGTCCAAGTGCCAACCACATTCCTCACCCACCCCCGGATGAGCCCTGTCCGTGTGAGCGTGTCCTCTGCTGCCAGCCTCCTCAGGGGCCTTGGGGACCAGCTGGCCGGGATGGTCTCTGAGGGACCATCAGGCTGGCACAGGGCAGGTGAGAGGAGCAGAGCTGTGAGGGCAGTGAGGTCCAGGGCAGTGGGGCTGAGCTCAGGGCAGACATCCAGGCACGGTGACCACTCCTCAGCGTGTGCACAGAGCTTGGGCCCCTCCAGGGACATCTACACTGTCATCTGCACTGGGGAGCAGCAGATGAGGGGCTGCAGGTACCCCCATGCCCTGTCCAGGCTCCCCCTCCCACTGTGCTGCTTGGCTGCAGTCATCCGAGGCACCAGCCCCCTCGGTGGGGAATCTGGCTTTGAGGATGCCGTGGGCTGGCAGGTCATCCCTGTCTTTAGAAAGCTGCTTGAGGGTTAATTGCACTCCCTGGTAGAAACGTGAGCCTTATTTCCAGACTGAATTAGTCTTGCTTCAGCTGCCAGCCATTGGATTTCAGTTTGCTTTTATCTGTGCCCAGAAATTACCTCCCCATGGAGCCACTTGCAGCCTGTCATCAAGTCATCTCCAAGTTGTTCTGCAGTAACTGCAGTGCCTTGAGCCCCAGGGTGTCCCTGACCCATCAGGTCTCAAATATCCATTTCCTCCTGCACCTTGTCCCCATCTACAGCAGTTTCAGCAACTCTAGAACCCCTGGGTGGGTCCCTGCTGTGTACCTGGGGCCAGCACAGGGGCCGATCCTGGGACCCCAGGCCACTCGCCCCTCCAGAGCCCAGCAGGCTCAGTGGTGGGCGTTTTCTTGCACAGCTCATGTGTCTGTCCAGCCCTGGCTATTCCACCTCAGGAACTTTCCACGTGCCCAGGCTGTTGCTGTGGTTACATGGTCTCATTCTTCCCTGCAGCTGTGAGGAAAAGGGGCTGGTGATGAAGGCAAAAGGGACGAACACCTCGGATGCAATCTGTGGTGAGTGCCTGGTGCCCTGGGCTAGACCAATGCAGAGCAGGGATCTCTGGTGCTCGGGCTCCTGCAGCGCTCAGAGGAGCTGGCCTGGCCCCGGGATGTTTTTGGGAGCAGAGGGCCTTTCCACAGTGCTGGCACGATGCCTTCCTGCTCCTCTCTGTCCCCTGAGGGATCCCGTGCGGGCTGGCCTGGAGCAGAGGCAGTCTGGAGCACTCGGTGTCCGGGGGGAGTGTCCTGTGTGTGCCCCACTGACCCCTCTCCCTCGGCAGAGGCGGGTGGACGCTCCTCACTGTCGGTGCTGATCCCCATCACAGCCGCCATCGTCACGTGCCTCGTGGGCCTCTGCATCTACTGCCTGGTCCACACAGGTAAGGAGGGGGCTGGGACACTGGAAGTGATGCCTTGGCCAGGGGGGCCATTGGGGAGAGGAGCTGAGCAGGGTGGATGGTGGCAGCTCTGCCAAGACTGGGGCAGCCCTTCTGGGGACACCGCTGGGCACGGTTCCCTGAGCCCCTTGTCCTGCCAGGTCTGTGGGCTCTGTCCTGGGGAGCAGGAGTGTTTGCACTGCTGCAGCCCAAGAGGGGCCAGCTCTTGGAAGAAAGCGTGGTGCTCGGTGGGTCCAGGTTGTCTTCTCTGCCATGGGCCCCAGCCTAGCAGCAGCAGGTGCAACGTGAGCTGCAGGACCTGTGTGGCAGCAGCACCAGCCCTGGCTCTGACCCCTGAGAGCTCATGGCAGGGCAGGAGTGCTCCCCCATGACTGTTGCCTTCTCTGTCCCTCTTTCCATCCAGATCCCAGGCGACGGGTGCAGAAGCAGGTGAGTCTGCCCAGAGCCCTCCTCCAGGAGTGGGCTGATGTCCCTCCTGGGCACAGACGGGGGTGTGCCAGCAGCAGAGAGCAACAGGAGCCATGACTCTGCAGGGAAGGAGGGGCAGGGGCTGTCTTAGGGCTGCCTGGCTGGGACAGGACAAGGGCTGGGGCAACCCTGGGGTGCTGTCGGTAAATACTGAGACGGGAGGGACCTGCAGGGGGTGAGGCCCTGCTCTGCACGGGAGCATAGCCGGAGCCTAGAGAAAGGCGTGGCTGCAGAGGTGGGGGGTGTAGCTTCCTTCCCCTGACCCTGTGCAGATAGAGGCCGGGAAGCCCAGAGAGGACCCGGAGCACCACCCCCAGGAAGTGGGGGAGGACGGCTTACCCGTGCAGGAGACCCTGCTTGGACGGCAGCCCGTGGCCCAGGAGGATGGCAAGGAGAGCCGCATCGCGGAGCAGGAGAAGCTGTGAGGACGCAGGGGACTGCCTGCAACAGGAGCAGAGGCTGGGGCCTGCCCCAGCTCCTCTG